CAGCAGCCCATAACCATCCGGTTCGCCAATCAGAGAAAGTTGCACTACGATCATTCCAAGTGTCCACGCTGCCAGTGGTCGGGAATTGGCGAGAAACCCGCTCTTTGCCAAGCAAGGAAGACCTGGCCGATCGATCTGAGTTACTTATTTGTGACATTTAGCCGTGAAAGGAGCCACCAAGAGCAAAGGAAGGATGGTACGTTGACAAATATCAGCCGAGGTTACATTTCACGATGTATTTCAGTTTTATTACATCGTTTGGAATTTACATTCTTTTCCATAATAATACCGTGGTTTATTTTATCATCGTTCGTTTCATTTAATGATCATAGTTTCTAATTTTCGTTTTTGTTAAATTCACAGAGAAAATCGACCTGTCCTAGATAAACTCAAGTTCAGATGAAGAATAGACTGGATGCATGGCGTTCAACAAGTCCACCGACAACAAACAAAACGGCTCTTTTAGGGGCCACCAAATAAAACAAAAGTAATTAACCAATTGCATATATCACGATTTTCCATTCCCCCTTCAATCTGTCCTCTTCTTAAGCACATATAAAGAGTATTAATACGATTATTACAACATAAACAAAACAAATTAATATGAGAAACATACGCTGCTGAGTGGGTTTTGTCGAGCAGACATGATTTAATCAAAGATATCCAATATCTGCCCCCTGTGATAGAGAGTTCTTCTTTGAGATGAAGAGTCGTATTGCCTCTTGTGCCGCAAAAACCGAATTGGCCATCTGCTGTCAGCGAAGTTGTTCAAAACCTCCTGTGTTTTTTCCTTGGTTAACAGATTGGTGCTTTTAACAACATTAAATTCATTTTCTTCCATAACTGGAAACCTCAAGTTGTCTATGATGTCATCTCCAAGGATTTGACGGCGTTCCACTGTATCAAGTCCGAGCTTTTTACATTGGTTTGCCGCCCACTTATTGATGGCAGTGAACAATTCAATTTCCTTGACGTTGAGTGTGTTCCTTTTTACCAATTCAATCAAGTCTGATCGGTCCATTTCGAAGAACTCGCTTGATTCCAAAACATCTTTGGCTTCTTTATCTATAAATTTCCAGCAAGAGCGCCAGAGAGACTTATTTTCAATTAACTTGGAGTGTTTCAAGACACAAAAGATGTTACTTGAATCCAGATGCTCACGCAAAAATAAAATGCAGCGGTTGGTCAGCGAGGGAATCATGTATTTCTCTGCCAAATAGATTAACTGCGAAATATTGTCCCCATTGAAGCCAACTTCCTCAGTGTAAATGTATCGCAAGAACTCCATCATCCCTTGATAGTCGCAGTCAGAGAGATCTATGTAATTATTTCTCTCCGCCAATATGCCACAAAACATCACGTAGAAAACCGGGCTTGCAATCGCCAACAAAAACCTATGAGCGGGGATTACCATCCTGAACTTCTCAGTTGTACTTTCATGCAGGGATAAGGAAACCACAAATTTAACATCGCTCAACTTGTCGATACTTAATAGACATTTAGCTCGTTCTTGGCTGTTACAGGCTGTCCTAAACATCGCTAAACGTTTTCTACAGTTTTTCGCAGCCCCACCGGAAATGAATTTCTTGATCTTCGCAAGTAACACGCCTTTTCACCCAGATCCCTAGATCCCAAACTCTCTCTTTCGTTGCGTAATCAAAATGGCGACCTGGCTTCGTGGCAAAACTCGTTGGAGCTGAAAGGTCCGAGCTGGGGTAAGTTTCATAAATGAATTTTGTCTAATTGAATTCAGGTACGGCTGAAGTTATGTTGATATTTGGGTATCCGGTTAGATCGCTCCATGGTTAGATCGCTCCAAGTCAGATCGCTCCA